GGCATCATGTTAAATTAGACCCTCTGGTGTTTCTATAGTGATATTTCCCCACTCCAGTGCTGAAGAAACATATTCTCCTCTCTCAGGAGAAGAGGGCAACCCAGTGAAGGTCACCGCACATGCTCTCTACCTCTCAAAATATTGTATGTACTAAGTACTGTCATTTGGTAATGCAACACCGTTGCGGCTAATGGCTGGAAATACAAAGAAGCCTAATGTTGTATTTTGAGGAACCTAAAAGCACTATAGTTCCACTCCACAGAATACAAAGAAACTCCCAAATGCTTCCTCAAAAACCAAATGTATTATGTTCTGAATTAGAGATAATTCTGTGCAAGGAGTAAAAAAGGGGTTAATAGTAATACCAATTAGTGTTATTGCTAAGGCACACAGGGTGAGTGACTTGAACCCCCTAATACAAATGCAAACTCGTCCTGAAACGTGAAGCTTGTTGAGTAGAGGTATGTTATTTCTATAGGCATTTAGACTTTTTAGCTGATTTTCACCTGTCAAATGATGTCAGATGAAAAACCATAGATTTATACAGAAGTAGGAGTTTAAGTCAAATCTAAAGACGATGATATCTGAGACTTGAGGGTGGGCTCATTTCAATTCGCCAGTAAACTACCAATTAGATCACCACAGAAACCACCTAGTAATGCCCTAGAACCTACACAGCAACACAATAAAGCAGAATCCTACCACAAAACCAACACCAACATTGTGGCGGCAAGTTTTGCACAGGCTTTTATCCATTTACATATATATAAAAATGTTGACTGGTATTTAGTCTCATACAAGCAATATAATATTAACATTAATATTAATTTATATAATATAATATATAAATTAAAAGACATTAAAGGGATAGTTCACCATAAAATGAATATTCTGTCATTGTTTACTTACCCTCAATCTGTCCCAAACCTGTATGAGTTTCTCTCTTCTGCTGAACACAAAAGAAGATATTTTGAAGAATGTTGGTTACCAAAAAGCTGACGGTAGCCATGAACTTCCATAGTATTTTTCCATGCTATGGAAGTAAATGGCAATGACAGAATTCAAATTTTTGGGTGAATTATATTTTTAAGTTCATTTCCTTGTATAATTTAAAAATTATACATAAGATGGTTGTCAGATGATAAACTAACCCCCAGCTAAACAAAACATTATAAAATCATTACCATGCTTGTGGTTTAGGAAAGGTTTTAAAGGTTCTGCCACTACTAGAGTACAAAACAGCAACATTGTAAAGAGTTGATTTCAATAAGCTCATGCCATCCATCTCTGTTAAGCAGAACAAAATATTGTACCATTAAACGGCTGTTCCAGATGCTGCAATAATACAACTTTGAGCAAAATCAGTATTTAGTATTCAGAACGGCATGTCACACAGGTGCACAGTCTTTCTGGGTTCATTTTATTGTGCTACATTTGATTTAAGTGGCTTGGCAGGCTGTATTTGAACTGTGCCCTCTCAAGGATGGTACTTGGGGGGGGGGTAAATGGGATTATGAAATGTGGTGACCAGTCTGGGCAGTCGATGTAGTGCACACTTCAATGCTTCTGAAAGAAATGCACTACATACAATTTGTGAGATCAGATATGGTTCCAGTGAAAAAAAAAACTGTGCAAATCAATTGTAAACATCAAAAGTTTGAAATATCATCTCTCGGGAGGTGAAAATGTTACATATAGGCTTAGTTTCTATTGTCAGTTCAATGTAAAATCAATTTGTGTTCAAATCAATAGGCTGGAAACTGACAAGCAGTCAGATCCTAAAGGATGTGCTGCTCATGCTATCTATAGATTGGAAGCACAGTGGGCATCATTCTGTGCCAACACTATGTTTGCCATGGAACAGTCAGTCCTACTTCTCAAAATCAGCCTTATCATGGTTTGAATTTCATATCCTGCCTTATCTATATGCTGTAACATGTTGGGTAAGCGCATTGAACAGTTTGTTTCTAACACCCCAGGGCGTCATCCGATAACTCCAGCTGCTAAATGTATCTGACAGCATCCCCTCGTTATGACACTGTACTTGCCTCTCATTCAAATTCAGAATAGGAAGCACAGCAAAGAACAACAACAACATCAGAAAAAAAGATTAACAGAAAGAAAACAAGCCAGAGCACTTCTGTTTGACATGACGAACATGCACAATATTAACAAGATCCTATCGGAGAGGGGAACAAAACGCAACAGTCCTCATCCACTCTTCCATGCAGGCATTCCTTTGTTTTTCCATATCGAGCTGCCCGGAGGACATTAGATCAGTCCCGCCAAAAAGCTGACAACTGTGTGTGGCTTTCAGAGCTCAGCCATTTTAAATCTGCCATCCATCTCCATGAAAACCAGAGCATGTGACGTGGGTAATCAGTCAGTCGGCCATGCGTGTGAGTGTAGTGCGATACTGCCCACTGCTCTCGTCTTGTAGGGGACAAAATCAAGGGGACGGCTGGACGTGTGTGTGCTGACCCTATGACCCATCCACAGCCTTTTAGTTCACCTAAAAATTTTTAAATAATATTCAATACGCAACATTTCTGAGGTCTCTAAATTATTAACCTGATCAAAACTTGCTGCACACAATCTTGTGCATGCCTTCTGTCATATAATTGATAGTTTATGCTTTTTTAGCAAGTCGGTTTTAGTGTAATTCTTGTGCCTTTTTGCTGTGAACGTTTAACTGAATTTTATAAGTAAAGGTAGGAAAAAAAATATTTTAATAACTGTTGACTGAAATGTTCTTTGGGAACCTGCAGTCTTTTGTGTACATCTCTCATTCAAGATTGTATTGTATTATATATATCTGCCATCATTCATGTTCAAATATGAGCTACATATTCTCAAATATCATACTATATGGACCATAAAAGCCTGATATATCAAATATGGTACTCAACAAAAAACACATGCACATTTTTTTAAAATAATATATTCATTATATTTGTCAAAAAGTTCAATAGAATGCTTTAAAAATAAAACATGTCAGGCTGTACAGAGTTAAAGGACAAAGCTGCTGCCATGTTCCACCACAACAGTACAACTTTTCAGACATTTCAAACTAAGTACGGATTTTATAATCACCCTGCTCTTCAGCAACTGAAGTGTGTCATGGTCAGATGAAGTAATGAGGCCGTAGCCCTCCACTCTTCTCACCATTGAAACCATCCAACATGTCTGCCCTCTGCCATGTTTCATAATCACTTCTGCATCCATTCATTATTTGAGCTTAATGAGCAGTGCCCGTGAGACATACTGAGCTCATTGAAGCTTCATGGCCACTCGTAGGCCCATCCAAATGGCAGCATGGATGCAAACAGATGTGGTGCCAACACGCCGATGCTCTCACAACTCGCTGCTGATCATTTTAGTGACAGTTCAGTGGTGAGCACTTGGTGACCAGTGAACAGAGCACTCAAAGAGCAGTCAATTATTTATTAAAGTTGAATGCTTATATGCAGATTGTTTACAAATGTAAGAGCACACATTCACAAAGAAAGAAATGGAACAGACATGGGATATGTTTTAAAATTGTGTATGCTGTTTACCTAGACAGCTTATTTGGTGCCTGATACCTAAAAAATCTCTAAAAGCCTATTATGACTAAAAATGCTTCATGAGCTTATGATGCCCAAAACTGCTGCAGTGTCCTACAATGCCACAAAATGCTGCATGCATCCATGATGCCCAAAAATTATCCCTAGAAATATGCTGTATGCACCTATAATGCCCGAAATTGCTGCAACGGCCTATAATGCCTAAACAATTCTGCATGTGTCTTATGATGCCAAAAAAACCTAGCATGTGCCTATGATGCCCAAAAATGCTGCACGCATCCATGACGCCCAAAGATGATCCCTAAACTGTGAAATATGTCTCAAATATGCTGTGCACACATATGATGCCCACAGTAATCTGCACAAGTAATGGCAAAAATGCTGCTGAAAGAAAAAGGCTGCACACATATATGGTGCCCAAAAATGCTACAAGCACATATAATGTCCAAAAGTGACGCACAAGTCCATGATTCCCAAAAATGCTCAATGCACTAGGAATGATGCATTCATGATGCCCAAATATGATCTATGAAATATTCCTAAAATATAATGTATGAACCTGTGATGCCCCAAAATCAACCCTAGAGCAACGAAATATGCCTAAAATATACTGTACGCACATGATGCCCACAAAAAATGCTGCTCAACGAAAACGTCCAAAAATGCTGCAGGCACCTATAATTGTCAAAAAATGCTACATGAGTCCATGGTGCCCAAAATACTATACATACCCAGAAATGCTGCAGTCCCCTATGATGCCCAAAATAAGGCTCTTTTGATGGCCAAAAATGCTGCCTAGGAACGCAGCTGACTATAGATATTGAGACACAGCCATGTTGTCCCACTCATACATGCGTGGCGCAAACACGACACTGACTCGCATCCACGCATCCATGAACTTTTCTGGCACCGCGCTATTCATAAACAAACCTTAACGCCACAGGCTTGTGCCAACTGCACAGACTAATAAATGCAACAGACCAAGTCGTCAGTAGGATATAAAACCACAAGCCAACTTGACATTCATTTGAATGTAAAACCAAATGAACAATTATGAGTTTATTATTATTATACAATTAATACAATATTATTATTACATTTGGTTTAATCTTACTTTAATAACATCAATATGAATGCACGATATAGCAATGCATGACTAAGATTAAACAACATAGCAATACTTTTTTAAGTAAAAGTTGTAATGGCACATTATTGAAAAACATTTGTCCCTTTATAGCAAAGAAAAAGTGAATGCAATAGTATTAATGTGTTTTAGTATATGTGGATCTATTTATCAAGTGTTACTAACTGAAATATAAAATCTATATGTTGTATTCAGCGAAGCTTGGAGGAGCAATGCGCGCATTATGAATTGACATGATGAAATGGCAGACAGATAGATAACTATTTCAATACAGATACAATATTACTCACCCAAATATTGTGAGAGAAGTATCCGGTCTTTTATTTATCGCTCAAAGTGAGTCAAATATACTTCAACAGAGAAACGCCACCTATTTGTTTCTTCTCTGTGATGGGGAGGATGAATGGAGCGGTTTCGTTTCCCTTGCCAACACATTTGCATAAGGACCGCCTAATCCGTTCTCTGATTGGCCAATATCAGAGATTAGCGCGACTGTCAGAAATGACTCGTTTTTAATTGGATGCTCTCAACTGTCAGTCAAACACAGCTCGTTGCCGCATCCCTTACGAACTAGCGCTTGTTGCACCTTCCTGCGGGCATCACTGCGTGCCAACAGAGGAAATGTGCATGTTTATCTTCACTCGAACATGTACTTTAATCATTTGCATTCCAAGTGTACATGTGGAAGAATCTATCTATCTATCTATCTATCTATCTATCTATCTATCTATCTATCTATCTATCTATCTATCTATCTATCTATCTATCTATCTATCTATCTATCTATCTATCTATCTATCTAATGTTGGTGACAAATTAAACCACATAAACATTTGATCAAGTTTGTGCTGGAGATTTTTAGGCTACATCTGGAGACTATTGTTACAATTGTTCTCAATTGCTTTGGCTTAATTTTGAAGCCATCTTAACCTTTTCTAGATGTGCAATCACAATTCAACTGCATGTCTGCAAAATAGCCTATTGTAACTTGCCCAAACCTTTTTTAGATACAGATTTTAAAAGTAGGTGAAACTTTACTGGAAAAGTCAAGTAATACAGAAAAAGACTTATGCACGTTTGTATGTTTACAGTCCATTTATTTTTGTAGCAATATGGAAAATAAACATTTGCATGTCCAAGTTATAAAGTCAACATTTGCCAATTTAGCAGACATCACAAACATTTCATGCATCACAATTCAACTGCATGTCTGCAAAATAGCCTATTGTAACTTGCCCAAACCTTTTTTAGATACAGATTTTAAAAGTAGGTGAAACTTTACTGGAAAAGTCAAGTAATACAGAAAAAGACAATTACAAAAATTTATTTTTGTAGCAATATGGAAAATAAACATTTGCATGTCCAAGTTATAAAGTCAACATTTGCCAATTTAGCAGACATCACAAACATTTCATGCCATATATTTACGGAATGTATATGTATGTCTGACTGATTTTGAAAACTGAATGAATAATTTTGCATTTGATGGCTCACAAAGTGACAAAACTTGTCAGTTTTGACCAAAAAGCCAGTTATAGTACAAAATTGTTTACAATTGCACTGACTCGTTTGCATGTGCCAAAACACACGCATTAAAGGGGTCATAGAATACCCATTTTCCACAAGTTGATATGATTCTTTAGGGTCTTAATGAAAAGTCAAATTTCTCAATGGTAGTGTAAAAAAAACAAATTTTTTACCCTGTCAAACACAGCTCTTTTCAGATCAAGCTGTTTTTGTAGCATTTTCATTTAAATGTTAATGAGATCTGCAGACCCCGCCCCTCTCTTCCGAGCTGCTCTCAGAGAGACTGTTTACTTTAGCCGCATTCATTGTGAAACTTGCTAATTAGCACATTATTAGGAAAGGCGATTTGCAAAGATTCATTACAAAACATTATACTCACTTCTTAGATGAGGCTGATTCATAAGTGATTCGTGTGAATATAGATGCATTTATGTAGATCGGGAGTGCATTCCCTTCAGAAACAAATAATCCACTGCGAGTTCAGCGGCTCAGATGTCGGGAGTAAATGATGACTGCTGTTCATTATTACATCCAACAACAGAACCCCTCAATCGCTTAGGAGTCATTCTTGTCTACATCTGCTCCAGCGGTGAAACAATGGCAGACTGATGACAGCTCACTCAGGGCGGGTCTAAGGTAAGACGCCAGTCCAGTCTGTGCTGAAACGCCACTGTCAATCAAACTATCGTGGGAGGGGCCTGTCTGTGTGACGTCACACAGACAGGGATCTGAGATCGGCTCGGTTTGAGAAAGGGGAAAACATTTAACCAGATAAAAAAAAAAAACACTGGGTGGATTTTTATCATCATAGGGTGGTTGTGTACACACACTGCCAACACACATTTCAGTTCAAACAACTTGTAAAAGCGCATGTAGCATCCTTTGACCCCTTTTAGAAATTCAAATCTGGTGTGAACAAGAAACTAATTGTTTAGAGATCTGAATCTCAATTAAGAATTGAGCCAAAGCAACTGAGAAAAACTGTAATAGAATACCAGGTGACCTTGTGTTGTTTTACATCCGATACCCAACGCTCAATTCTAATTACAATATTGACAAATCAACAATTGCTTGATTAGCAAATAGTTTTCTTCTGAGACACAACATTCTATTGTTGTCCGCTTACTTCTTTTTCAATTGTCTCGTCCTGTCCTTCCTTTTCATCACTTTACCTTTGGATCTCCTTGGCCATTTAGCATCACATCAGAAAGGGTGTAATTGTTTTCTGGAATCACCTTCACGCATATTCTGGGTCACTCTAAAAGAACATCAGCAGACATGTCATGCACGTCCCTTCTGGTGTCCTCCCACTCCAGACTCTCCTCCACAGATGAGGAAATATGGCGTCCAGCACTTTACTGGCAGGTGTCAGTATGAAATGACATTCTGAGAGGAAAACAGCAGGTATCTGGTTTACAGTCTCTTGCAGTTTCCCGGAGATGGGCAGCATTTGGTTAACAGTTGGTTCTCACTGTGGGCTTCTGTCACAGTCAATTGAAAGTGCGTTGTTTTGCCCTGCCATCCACCCCGCTGCTGCACACATGCTATTCCAGAACTTGATCAGAATTAGGAGACCAAATATGATACTGTGAACTCTTACTGTGATGTCCAGTCCTTCCTTTGTGGATTTTTCTTTGGTATGCTTAGAAGTGGATAGGACAGTTTTGGGTATATTTTCACAGTAGATGAGAGTAACAAGGTTATATTCAGGGTTGAATTTCATGTTACGTGCCCTTTACAGATAATGTCACCATACCCTTGCAAAAAAAAGGAAAGTGTTTAAAGTTAAATCTTAAAAGTATATTTAAAAACTGTACTTGCAGATAGTATATGAATTAAAACACACTTAAGTACACTTTTAAAAAGTATGCTTTGTAATAATGTCAAATAAAATGTACTATATTTTAAATCATCACATCATGCTTTAAAGTATACTTATTTTAATGTGTTGACTAACATGAAAAATTACATATAATGATGCATGAAAGTTTATCTTAAAGGGATAGTTCACGTAAAAATGAAGATTCTGTCATTAATTACTCACCCTCAGAAAGTTAGTAAGGGCATCGTTAAAATAGTCCATGTGACATCAACCTTAATTTTATGAAGATAATACTTTTTGTGCACAAAGAAAACAAAAATAAAGACTTTATTCAACAATTCTTCTCATGTGTTGTGGTACCGTCGTGAACGCTTGTCGAATACTGACACGGAAGAGAAAAAATAGTTGAATAAAGTCATTTTTGGTAACATGGTAGCTGCGTTGCTGTCTATGGAGGGTCAGAAAGCTCTCGGATTTCATCAAAAATATCATCAAAATATCTTAATTTGTGTTCCAAAGATGAACAAAGGTCTTACGGGTTTGGAACAACATGAGGGTGAGTAATTAATGACAGAATTTTCATTTTTGGGTGAACTATTCCTTTAAAAACACTCTTAAGTTTAAATAATGCAATTTTATATCAATATAAACTACATTTTATATATTTTTATAATAAATTAATATTTAATATATTTTTTATAATACATTTAATTGCAAATAACATATGTGTCTGAAAACATTACATTTAGTTTGCACTTGAGTGTATTATTTTAAAGGACATTATTTTCCGTAATAAGTATACTTTTTTTCCAAATGGGTAGGCCACACAGACCAGTGTAATGTTAACCAGCTAAATATCTATTTAAATATTGTTTTAGGCTAGTGTTGAAAGTAATGTAGACTAAACCATGCTAGCAGTAATTTGATGCCAGTTTCAGTTTGTAATGTTCATATAATCCTTCAGTGATGGTAAACAGATTTGGCTTGCTGTTCAAGAGGGCTCGAGCTTGAGACTTGACTCGAGAACTAAAGTCCCGCCAAATTGTTTAATAAATGAAATTAGTAATGAGCGGACAGAAATAAGGCATGAGATGAAATTGTGGAGGGATGCCAGAAGAACAGTCTTGGTATTGAGCATCTGTTTATATGCTCTTCCAACTTTAACTTTAATATAATAGAAGTTTCTGGCAATAATGGACAATAAATATAGATTTGAAATGTAAGTGTCACCATTGGGATACTCAAAATGCTCTTGAGGGTCTCAAACTTGACCTTTAGCCTCCATGGCCTGGTCAACGGCAAGCTCCATCCTTGCATCAAACAGATACAAAAGGTTCTTAATAGAGGGAAAAGGTTTTTTTAGATTATTAAAATGTTCTTATTGCATTATGAAAAAAATGGTTCTTTTAAAACTACATACTGAAAGGTGCTTCAGGGAACTGAAAATGGTTCTTCTATGGCATTGCTGCAAAGTCCTCTTTTTGGAAACCCTCTTATTGTAGTTCTGATGAGCCCATCCCAGTGTCCCAAGGTGCTGCTATTCATGAAAATGCTGTAAACATTGTAATATAAACAACTGATAATACATCATTCCCAAACCTATAGCACATTGCCACCTCAGCTTTGTTTTTACACGCACATCCCCATTTAATCTTCATCCATTATTTGGCATGATGGAAAACAACAGTTTAAACGACCTTTATTGGAGCGAAAGGGAACATAAAAATGGCATTTGTTGTAGTTTTCTGCCACTAGTTCACCAGTTTACCAAACTAAATCACTTCTACTTCTGAGAACCTTGGAAACATACAAATTTGCCCAATAATAGATATTTACCAATTTCTTCTATTTTTACATTGAGATTATATTTGCCACCGTCTAATGATCATTGAAGGTTAATCTTTAAAAACACTTATAATATTAAATAATTTTAAAGAAATAAAAACTGGTAGAATTTATAGCAACTGATTTTATTTTTTGTGATTTTTTTCTTCATTCAATTTATTTAGGTAAAATAATAATTAATATGAATATAATATATAT